TGTCATTGCTAAAGCACTGAATCCTCTGAAAAAGAGATCTTCTGAGTGAAAATCTTGATATTATAAGCATTGAGCTTGCTTCAACTGCAGATGTCAAAATCATGATGTAAAAGATTACACTCAGTGTATGCAGTCAAAAAACTAGCTGAATCAGTGAGCTCAGAGATACTCACTGATATTCTATGAAAAGCCTTCAAAGTGAAAGAGATGCCTGTGTTAGATGATTCTCTGAATTCTGCAAATGCAAAGAAGAAGCAGGCTTCTGAATGAGATGCAGGTGAGAATGATGAAGTGAATACTTATCTCAATATCTTGAGAGCTGAAATGTTAATGTATAGAGAGCACTTGAGTAAGAATCAAGAGATGGCTGCAAAAGTGTTAGTGAACACAGAAGCTTCTACATAATATATTGAGAATCATATAATCTGAAGATTGAAGAGAATTCACTGAGTGAAGAATCTCTGATGTATAAGATTATCTGATAACTGATATTTGATATCATCTGTAAGAGTAAGAGTTCTCTTGCACTTCAGAGAATGATCTTGTTATATTTGAACATGAGAGCTGCAGAATGTGGAATATGACCTTATTCTCAGACTTGATTGATTTCAAAGATTCAATCTGCAGATTCAATGATGTACATGTCATATGCAGTTGACTGATAGAAAGAAAATGATTCATACAATTCTATCAACTAATATGAGAAGGATATTTCATGCCTCTGATATAGAAGAGTTAAATCTGCTTATGCATCAACAAGCAAAGAGAATGATTTGTAAGATCTCATCTGAAAGCATTCTGTATGTCATACAGGACTCAGAAGCAGAGAAAACCAAGATAAAGAATATGTGAGAGAACAAGTGTATGAAGAAGCTTCTGAAGAAGTATGAGAAGGTCTTCTGAACAGATCTTTCACTGAAATTGCTGCCAGAACAAGGATTTATACATGAGATTGACACAGGGAATACAAAACCAGTCAATCAGAATGTATACCCCCTGTCACAAATGCATCTTGAAGAACAGAAGTGTCAGATCACAGATCTTCTAGAATGTGATCTCATACAATCCTTATCAAGTGTGTGAGGCTTTCCAGTTCTATTTGTGAAAAAGGCGGGTGAGAAGTGACAGATGTGTATCAATTATCAAGCACTTAACAAGCTTATGATCAAGAATGAATATTCACTGTCATGAATTCAACAACAGTTGAATACAGTTGAAAATGCCTGATATTTATTGAAGATCACTCTTCTCTCAGAATACTGGCAGATTCATGTAGGTGAACTGTCAGTCTCACAAACTATGTTTAATACATAATAAGAGAAGTTTGAATTCCTGATAATGTCATTTAATCTGATAAATGCGCCTGTCATCTTTCAAATGATGATGAATATAATTCTTCATAAACAGAATGAAACCTCATATCTTATATATCTTGATGACATTCTAGTCTTTTCAAACTCATATGATGAATATCTGAAGTATCTTGATAAAGTGCTTACAACTCTGACAGAGTATAAGCTCTACATCAAATCAATCAAGTGTGTGTTTGAAATGAAAGAGTTGGAGTTTGTAAGACATGTAGTAAGTGATGACTGTATACACCTCATTCTGGAGAAATTGAATGTTATAGTGAATTGATCACAGTCAAGAAATGTACATCATATACAACAGTTTCTTGAGTTAGTCTCATACTATCACAGATTCATCAAGGATTTCACATGAATATCTGTATCACTCTCAGATCTCTTAAGAGAAACAGATGTAAATCTGTGAAAGAAGAAGTTTCATTCAATTATCTGAAATACTGTGTGTGAAGAGGCTTTTCTCACACTAAGAAAATGTGTAATAACATTCTCAGTGCTTATTCAATCAGATTGTAATAAATCTTTCTACATTGAGATGAATGCATCTGAATGAGCTATCAGAGACACTCTTCTACAGATAAGCAAGAACAGCAAGCTGCACCTGGTGACATACAATGATAGGAAACTATCAAGCACTGAGCTCAATTATTCAGTGTATGAAAAGAAATTGCTAGTGATCAAGCACATGCTGGTGTTATAAGATAGATATATTGACAATGAGCATACAACAACAGTGATCACAGATTATGAAAGCCTTGTCTATCTATAATCAATGATAAAACCTTTCAAATACTTAGCATGTTGAATCTCAGAGTTTCAAGTGTACAATCTTTATATCAAATACTGAAAGAGATTGAACACTGTGATGTCTGATGTAATCAGTCACAGACCTGATTTCATGAGTAAGAGTTCTGTGAACCAGGTACAAGGAATGTTCATGTTAAACATGCTGAGAAGATACAAGGAATCAGAATGAGTGAATGTCATGATCTCTTGCTTAGAGAATGACAAGATGTTGAATGACAAGTGTCTTGTGAGAGTAGTAGAAGAGATGCTTTCAAACTTCAAGCTAAGAAAATTGAAAAATGAAAATGATATTATGCTTTACTGTGATCTAGAATATGCAGAAGCTCTCTATCTAGAATCTTCATTTAGATGCAACTTGATGACTCACATGCACAAGGAATTCAGTCACTTAGAAAGTTCTGAACTCATGAGCATACTCAAATTAAGAGTATACTGATCAAGCATGGCCGAGGACATTCAGATATATGCTCATGAGTGTCTGAATTGCCAGGTTATGAAAGAATCTAAGAAAGAGTTAGAACACAAGAAAGCATAACATCAGATAGAGTGTATAATACAACTGTTCAAACAATGAGAGATGAACCTCATAGACATATTGCTGTGAATATCAAATGGAAATTGATGAATAATCACTGCTATTGATTATACTACTGACTGGCCAGTTGCAAGAGCAGTTTCAGAGGTGACAGAGAAGGTGATGATGAAGTTTCTACATGATGAGATCTATATCAACTATGAAATACTGTGTGAGATTCTAACTGATAATGATGCAAATCTTGTAGAAGAAGTGATGAGACATTTCATGAGTCAGTTACAGACAAGACATTGTAGAACAATGTTATATCATCTGTGAATAAATGAGAAGATGGAACACTTGAATGAAATCTTGGACAACATGCTGATGAAATATCTAGTGAGTAAGTCTATGAGACTATGAGATGAATATCTCAGACAGATGCTATTGACCATGCGGATTTGACAGCATGCAGTCTTCAAGTGTTCATCATTCTATCTGTTGTATGAATTGCATCCGCGCATCCTGGAGAATGCTTCAGAAAAGGTGGGAGAGAGAACAGCAGTTGTGAATGCAGCAGAAACAGCAGTTGTGAATGCAGCAGTCACAGATGTGAAATCAAGATTGAAAGAGATCAGTCACACACATGCAAAAGCTAATGAGTTACTCCTGAACTGAGCAATTCAATTGAAAAGAATATAAGACTCACTTGTTAAGGAATCAAGTCTCAAGGTGGAAATATGAGTTCTTGTATGCAATGAGGGTTCTGAGAAGTTCCAATCTAGATGATTTGAGTCATATAAGATACTCAAATCACATTCTCTGGAAATGTATGCATTGAAAGAACCAGAGGGACAGATCTTATGCAACTTAATCAATGATTCATGACTTGTGAAAGCAAAGATGTAAGACCTGAGTGAATTATAGTCATCTGCAGCACTATTGTCAGTGTTGAAAAAGAAGAGACTTACAATTGAAAAGTCTTATGAAGTAAGAGAAATCATAGACACTTATAAATCAGATGATCTCACTTATTCTGATCTTTTCATGATTATAAGAAAAGAATGAGAAGAAATGAAGAAATCAGGTGAATGTCACACTTCAATAAGTAATAAGACTGTAGCCAGTTATATGATAATGTGCTGCAGACAGCAGATGCAATACAGCAAAGAGCAGTCTCAAAGTGACAGACTTGCATGTGAGTCAGATCACAGAAGAAAAAGAAATTCAGAGTTGAATTTGACTGTTTACATCAGTTCAATCACAGAGATCACAGAGAATGAACTATCTGAAACATTCACAGACATGTGAAACCAAGTCATCTCAATCTCTGAGAACACTCAGAGATCAGACAAGATTAGTTTCAATGAGCTGTTCACTGTAGTAATCTGAGCAGGTGAAGAGAGACAGTATAATATGTGAGACAGAATCATAAAAAGTTAGAAGCTGTCAAATCTAGTCACTGAATGCTGTATCATATAGAGGTTATGTAAGAGTAGTGACTAGCAGATAGAGAAAAAGTGTAAGAAAAGAGATGATGAATTGATCATTAACTGTAAGAGTCAGCTGCAAAAGACAAATGTTATCATACACATCTCATTCATTTTCATACATCACACATTTAATCTATTTCCAACATCACACCACCTGAAAAATGCCAAAAACAAAGGAAATCTCAAAACTTGAGATCTGTAAGAAATTTGAGAGTTACAAGCTGCTCTTGTAACAATGCTGTGCATGTCTCTGATTCCTCTATCACTCTGCATATGACATTAATGTCATTGATTGCAAGATTGGCTGAAATACCAATATAGAAATGCACATGTGTACATGTAGAGAAATTGAAGAAGAGCACAGAACTCACAGAATCAGAAGCTGAGACAGAGAGAACAGAGATGGAAGAAACAGAAGAAGAAGAAGATGCAGAACCAGATGAATAATGAGAGTCACTCAGAGCTGAACACTTATGATCTGGTGTGTGCACAATCTTCTCTGCAGAGAAGAGAGAGAAAGTGATGAGAGAAGCTTAAGAGCAGAAGAGAGTAGTCTCAGCAGTGTTATCATCTTCAATCAGAATGGCCTCTGACACCAGAGCAACTAAGAATCATTGTTAGCATATGAAAATCACAAAATCAGGGATGAGAACAGTTACTGAACAAACACTCACTGATCTTAGAATTGTACATGTAATTACAACATGCATGAGACTCCTCAGAAAGAGAGAGAAGAATACAGAGAAATGCAGAAAGCAGAACACAGCATGTGAACAGCTCATTCTCACAATGATATCTCAGACAAAGACATACAAGCCTCACACCTGTGAGTGTAAAAGAGTATAACATTCATGTTCCTGTTTCTAAAAACATGAATATCTTTCATCTGCATCATGAAGTTGAACAACAGATACCAGAGAATAGGCTGATATGAATTGATCATTCTGAAGGAATTTGTCAGAGTGAATGTTCTTACAATATTGAACTTTACAATTATAAAAAGCTTCTTAATGTCTGTGAATGCTATGACTTTGTGCACAGCAAAACTCATAATGATTTTCTCTAAGAACAGAAAAATCAGTGTCAGATTGAAAAGATGAAAAGAAAAAGACTCACAATCTCAACACTGTTGAGAAGAGGAGTGATTCTCTGATATGAATGAATAATTGTCTCATTATGAATATTTAAAATGAATATAATAATTGATGTCTGCAGCTGAGCTTCAGATAGTTGTGTTGTACACAGTCTTCATACAATAAATTATTCTGAGAGTCAGTAAGAAGAGTGAGAGTGTACACACTGAGAGATGTGATTCATTAAGTCTATACAATATCTTCTTGAATCAGAGAGAGCTGATAATAAAAGCAGAGATGATAAAACCAGAAGTGACAGAAGTGAGGGTCACAGAAACAGAAGTAGTGGGAGCAGAAGAACCAGACACAGAGGCAGGTGTAGAAGATTGAGAAGAAGTGACAGAGAAAGGAACAGAGAAAGAAGAGAAGAACACAGAAGACTCAGTTATATATGACACAGACAATTCCTTCATTATCACATTCTTCAAGTTCTTGATCAATGATTCAACATTGAGTTCACTATCATTGACAGATGCAGATCTGTCAATGCATGACAATTCTATGTGAATAAAAACAAACATATCAGCATCTGCATTCACATAAAATCATGTCAGAAAACATGATCAGAAACTCACTGAGAAGAGAAATGATCAAGAGTGTATGAGAAGATGTGTCATCATTCATGATAATACATTGTTCTGATGATTATTAGAAGATAAACAAGTTCTGACTATGTTTCACAACATGTTACACTTACTGCTAATGAACTGCCTGATATGAGCACTACAATGATACTTGTTATGAAAATGAGAGATCATTGTCAGAAATGTGTACAATGTGATAGATGAACAGATGAAAAGAGTTAGACAGAAGAAGAGGTAGAAATCTTGAATAAGATAGTGATGTTTAATAATGATGATAATGAAGAAGATGGTTGAAGAATGAAAAAAGTTAGTGAATGAGTGATATAATATAGTGAAAGTTTCTTTGTGAGAGTGTACACAGAATACTAGCTGAATCAGGAATAGATCACACAATTATGAAACACTAGTGATGAGCTAATCCACATGAAGATAGAGTGTATAACATAGTCATATGAGCGTGACTGAATCTGATGAGAGAGAATGTGATTCAGAAGAATGTACAACTGTCAGATAATACTGCAGCCGCTTCTGAACTACTAGCATACACGTATGAGTGTAAAGGGGCCATAGCGTACGCTAATTAATTTAGTGTATGAGATTACAATATAAGAAGCCGGTGTACGCCTGTAATCGTACGCTGGCTTAAGCAATCTTTGAATCACAGAGTGAAAACAATGAGTTCAAAAATACACTCAGTTGATGTGAAAAAAGATGCTTTCTCAAATGCTATTTCTGAGATTGAAATTCTGAAGAGAAGAAAGAAAGAAGAAATAGAGAAACAACAAGTTCTTGAAATACAGAAACTTGAAAAAGCAAGCAAGATTCTTGAAAAGCAGTGTCTGAGTGAGATGAATGAAGAAGTTCTGTTAATTCTTCATACTCAGGCTAGACAACTACAGAAGATAATCAAGTTCAAACTTGAAATCTCAAACACAGTTTAAAAAACATTGAAAATTCTCAGTACAATCACTGACTCTTTATCTTACTCTTCTTCTTTCTTTTTTCCTACTTCTTCTTCTTCTTTAAATCAGAAGAAAACATATGCTCAAGCAGCTGAATCTGCTGTCTCTAAACCTGCTGTCTCAAAACCTGCTCAAAATTCTTAGAAAACTGAGAAGAATACTGCTCATGTTCCTATTCATAGAAAAGTGAAAAAGAAAATACAAAAAGAGAAAAACTTTCAAATCTCCAGAAATAGAAGACTTATTCTCAAAGTCTCAAATCAGGACATTCTGCAAAGAAACAAGCTAAACTCAAATCTCATTTTCAGAATCAGAAATGAAATTAATCAGCAGTTCTTTTCTCAGTTGATGACTGATATTGAAGTTTAAAAACCAGTTATAGCTTCAATTGAATCATCATTCTTTGAAAACTCCATCATTCTGACTACAATGTCTGAATTCAGTGCTGAATTTCTTATTCAGAATGAGAATCTCTGAAAGTCAGCAGTAGAATCTTTGTTAAACATAACAATTCTATCTGAAAGAGATGAAAAGTGAGATAAATTCATTCTTCATGATATTCCAGTTGAAATTTTTGACTGTGAAGAAGAAATGCTACTTCTCAAAAATGAATTGAAAGAATACAACTCTATTCAACTAAGAAAGAAGCCTGTATAACTAAATTCAATTGAGTTCAGACAAAACAGAAGAAATGTCTCTGTTCTAGCATATATAAAAACACTTAAATAGTCAAAGATCTCTGAAGTAAGAGTAGCAGATTTGAAAATGAGAGTTCATGAATACAAAGACTCAAGAATGAATCTCAAAGCTTAAACACAGTGTTCAAACTGTCAAAGATATGAACACTTTACAATCTCATATTTTAGAGACTCAAAATGTGCATTCTGTATCAGAGATCACAAAACTAGTGAGCATAAATGTGAAACATGCTCAAAAAGAGATGAAATTTATCAACATACTCTGCTTAAGTGCTCTAATTGCAAAGAAAATCATGCATCTAGCTCAAAAGAATGTATGTTTACTCCTAGAACTCAAAAGAACTGAAGAAAAGAAGAAGCTCAAAGTCAATCTAGAACTGAAGAGAAGAGTCAAGCCAGTAAACTCATAACTGCAAGCTCAAAAAGAAGAAACTCTCAACTATCTAAGTCTTCAAACTCTAACTCTTCAGCTAAATGTAAACAGAACTTGAATTCTCAAACTTCTGTTAAGATTAGAGAATTGAGAAATGACTCTGATGATAAACTAGATATAATGTAAGCAGTTGAGATTTCTACTTTTCAGAACAGTTATAATCTACTATCTGATGATAGTGATTAGATTCTACTCTACTCTCTTTTAGTATGAATATACAACAAAAACAACAAAAAAAGTTTAAAAACTCTTCAAAAATCACATTTATTCAAAATAATGTGAATAGAAACTCAAATTGTATTTATTCTTGTCTTCAAATTGTATTTGAATAAAAAGTTGATTTTATACTGCTTCAGGAGCCGAATTTTGATGCTGAGCAAAAATATGTTATTTCTCATTCAAGCTACTACTGCTTTTTACCTCAAAAGTCTGAGATAAAGTCAAGAGTAGTGATCTATGAAAGAAAGAGATCAAGATATCAATTTAATCTAAGATTTGATATCATGTCTGACCCTGATATTCTGGTGAGTGATATTATAGATAAAGAAAATGAGTTTGATACTATACAGCTCATAAATATCTATAATGAAAAGTCATTGAAGAAAAATAACAATATCTGAACAATTGATAGAGAATTTCTGAACATAACTTCATTAAGAAACTCTATAATTACAGGAGATTTCAATGCACATCATCCCTGATGAAATTCAGAATGCAAGAGAGCAGTGAGAGCTGATAATCTAGTTGAATGAACCTTTGAGCATTCAATAGATTTGATTAATAAGTCTGATCAACAAACATTCTTTAGAAAAGGTATGAAATAGAAGTCTATTATAGATCTAATCTTCATATCACAAAATTTAATGAAAAGAAGACTTGTAAACTGATTTATTGATTCAAATGAGACATCAGAATCAGATCATGAGATTATTCAATTTGATATTGAACTGAGTGAAAAACAAATGAGTGAAAATTCTCTTCTCTCTAATCAGTATAACTTTGAAAAAGCTGATTGAAAAGCAGTTAAAGAAAGCATAAAACTGCTAAAATCTGAAAGATAGAATGAGCTAGATTGAAATTCTGATCAAGATATCTCAAATGAAATGCTTAAGAATAGAGTGAAGCTTATTACATCTATTATTCTAACAAGTGTTAGAGATAATATTTCAAAAAGAAAATCTTCTGAGTATTCAAAACCTTGATGAAATGAGAATATCTTATCTAAAAGGAAAGAATTAGCTACTGCTAGAAGAGATTGAAAAAATGATGTAATATCTGATAAAGGGTTCAAAGCTGTCAGAAATGAATATTTTTCAGATATCAAAGAGCTAAAACAGACTGCTGAAATAAATTTCTTAAAGAAGCATAAGAAAAGGAAATTTTTAAAGCTTTTAACTATACTAAAACAAGAAGTGTAGCAAAACTTCCAGCCTTAGAATATAAGTTTCAGAATGAATCATATACAGCAAACTCTTTTGAGAAAAAATGTCAAGCTTTTATAAGAATTCTCTTTCAGAACTCATCAGACTCAGATTCAGATTCAGAGAAAGTGAATATATCACTTCTCAACTACATTGATGAAAATGACTGAGAATGACCTGATCTTACATAAGATGAATTAGAGTCAGCTATCTTCTCAAGTTCTGTTAAAACTGCTGCAGGTCCTGATTCAATTAATCACTTGATTATTCAAAATACATATTTCTACTTAAAGAATGAATATTTTGAGCTCTTTTTCAATCTCTTGAAAAATGAATATCATTCTGAATGCTGAAGAGAAGCCACTGGAGTGATTCTTACAAAACCTAATAGAAAAACTTCAATTTCTAAGTCATATAGAGTAATATCTCTATTGAACTGTTTAGAAAAGGTTTTAGAAAAGATAATAGCAACTCAACTATCTTTTATAAGCTCTATAGATGATTCTCTTTTATTCAGTGAATAAATGAGAGATAGAAAACAGTGTTCTGCAATTAACACTGTTCTCTCAGTTGTTCATGATATTCAAATAGCAAAACATGAGAGTCTGATCTCAACTGCAGTTTTTATTGATATAAAGAAAGCATTTGATCATGTTTCAAAGTCAAAGTTAATTCAGATATTGAAGATATTAAAACTGCCACTTTCTCTAATAAAATGAATTAACTGTTTTATATCTAAAAGAATTATATAACTCTTCTTTGATGAAATGAAACAAGACAAGACTGAGATAAAAATAGAAGTACTGCAGAGATCTTCAATCTCACTCATTTTATTTGCAATATACACTGCATATCTATTCAAAAATAGAAATATGAGAATAGTACAATCTCTGAGTTATGTGGATGATATTGATCTAGTCTACAGCTCAAAAACTATCAAAGAGAATTTGAAAGTAATTGAAGAAGCTATAAAGAAAATCTTTGTTAGAGCAGATATTAATCAAATTCAATTTGATATGAATAAAACTGAGTTAATTCATTTCTTTTCTAGACTCAATGAGAAAGAACTATCTCTAACTCTTTTAAATAGAGAGATTAAACCCAGTGTAAATATCAAATGATTAGAAGTATGATTAAACTCCAAGTTAAATTTTAAATATCACATTCAACAAAGAACTGTCAAGGCAGAAAGACTATTGAACAACATAATCAGACTATCAAATACAGAGAGAGATCTATTCTTCCAGGCTATGAGACAGTTATATATAGTCTGTATTACATCAGTAGCTGATTATGAAGTTCAAGTTTGATGGAATAATCAAGAGAATTTCACTGAACTCTTTCAAAGTCTGTAAAACAGAGTCTTGAGAAGAATTCTAGAAGCATTCAAATCATCTTCTA